CAAGCGGAGCCCCCGGATCCCCACCAAGCGGAGCCCCCTGATCCCCACCAAGCGGAGCCCCCGGATCCCCACCAAGCGGAGCCCCCGGATCCCCACCAAGCGGAGCCCCTGGATCCCCACCAAGCGGAGCCCCCGGATCCCCACCAAGCGGAGCCCCCGGATCCCCATCAAGCGGAGCCGCCGGATCCCCACCAAGCGGAGCCCCCGGATCCCCACCAAGCGGAGCCCCCAGATCCCCACCAAGCGGAGCCCCCGGATCCCCACCAAGCGGAGCCCCCGGATCCCCACCAAGCGGAGCCCCCGGATCCCCACCAAGCGGAGCCACCGGATCCCCACCAAGCGGAGCCCCCGGATCCCCACCAAGCGGAGCCCCCGGATCCCCATCAAGCGGAGCCGCCGGATCCCCACCAAGCGGAGCCCCCGGATCCCCATCAAGCGGAGCCACCGGATCCCCACCAAGCGGAGGCCCCGGATCCCCACCAAGTGGAGCCACCGGATCCCCATCAGGTGGAGCCCCCGGATCCCCACCAAGCGGAGCCCCCGGATCCCCACCAAGTGGAGCCACCGGATCCCCACCAAGCGGAGCCCCCGGATCCCCACCAAGTGGAGCCACCGGATCCCCATCAGGTGGAGCCAACTTCCTGGAGCAGCTCACGGATGAACTTTGCCCCTCCGGGCTGCAGCAGCCACCTCACTGCACCCTTGATCCGTGCAGATCCCCCACAAGCAAGCCACAACCCGGGTACTTCAGGGCAGTAACGGGAGCCCCCCCCCGGGCCAGGAGGGAGCCCCCCGTGCTGCCACGTGGCATTTGGACAGGAATCGGCCCCTTCTCAGTGCCACAAATAGCGCAGGAGGAGCCGCTGCGGCCCCGCTCAGCGCATGCTCCGCACCCGCAGGAAGCTGGTGCCCTGCCAGACCCCGGCCCCGTGCACCGAGCCCTGGAGACAGACCCAGGGTGTGGGGATAGGAGCTGCTCCCAGCCACAACACCCGGGAGGCAAAGGAAGCGCTGCAGAGCATGGCCCCGGTGCCCCCGGGAGCAGCCGCCCGGGGCAGGGGCTCCGCTGCATCCCGGTCCCAGCTCGAGGGATGCCTCAGCAGCAGCAGCTCACGCCGAGCTCGAGCAGAGCCTGCCCTGGCCATGCCGATGCACTGCACCGCAGGTGGGAAGAGCCTCCTGAGGGGCTCGGCCCGAGCACAGGCTCAGGCCAGCGTGGCAGCAGCGGCCCTGGGGGATGAGGGGAGGCAGCACCAGCTGGGAGCAGGAAGCAGCCAAGAGCTGGGCTGAGAGGAGATGTTGCCTCCTGGAGCACAGCACCGAGCTCCGGCGCCTCCAGCATCAACAGAAGGCAGCCGGGCAGCCCGAAGCACCCATCAAACGGGGGGAAAGGGTCCCTGTGATGCTCTTACTGATGCAGGCACCAGCATGAGGGAACCTGGGATCTAATCAGCCCCGATGCCCTGCACAGGAGCCTCTACCCCGTAGCCCCATTGTGGGGAAGCTTTGACTGAGTTGGAAGAGTTGAGGGTGGAACCTTTCTGATGGTGCTGGACTCCGTGGTGAGCCTCTGGAGCAGAGCCAGGCAGCACCCAACACAGCCAGGGCCCTGCGCAGCACGATGCAAGCTCCAGAGCCCCGAGCAAAGCTGCTAAAAGTAGCTCAAGAGCTCGAGTTCATCTTTAGCTCCCTGCCAAGGGCAGGGCACAACGGGCCCAAGCTGTGCAGTGTCCCCAGCTCCGTTACCCCCAGCAGCGCCCAGGTCACGTTCAGTTATCAGCAGTGGGAGCATCACGGCCTCACTCAGATCCAAGCGGCTGCAGTGACACCGGGCGCCTTCCTGCCCGGCTCCCACACACGCACCCGCAGCCGGATGAAAAACTGCGCTCCACCAAAGCGGGGAAGGGCTCCGGGCAATGCAAGAGCTTCACACGGGCTGCTCGGGGAGGACCTGGCTCCGGCTCCTCGGGAGCCGTTTCAAAGCCAGCCCCAGAAGTGGGAAAACCGAGCAGCGACGCCGGGATTTGGAGGGATTTGCAAAGGAGAGGAGGTGACAGCGTGGGGCAGAGCTCCCCAGCCACCCGAGCCCCTCCGGAAGCCAAGACCTGGTGTCCAGACAGCATCCTGCCCATATCCCCCCTGCGGCTGTCCCACAGGCAGGGGGGCTCCAGCATCCGAGGGGGCTGAGGAGCTACAGTTGCTCCTCCGCGCTCCATCCCAGCTCCCACTGCCCCAGCACGCACCCCTCCTGCCCCTTGTCACTGTGGCAGCAGCAGCAGAGGCTCCACTGCCGTGGACAGGGCCAGGGAGCACCTCCAGGGTGGAAGTGGGGCTGGCTGCTCTGCCCCAAACACACGGGCAGAGGCAGCAGGGGTGTGCACACACAGAGCCATGCGCAGCCCAGGGCAGCGGCCGGCAGAGCCCTTGGGCAGCTCCACCACCCGTGGGCCATGTTCACCTTGCTCCGTGCCTGCTCCTCGGGCGCTGCATCACCCCTGCGGGACGCTCACCCGGCCAAAGCACCGCTGAGCAAGGGGTTAAAGCTCCACCAGAGACGTCAGCCAGGTTCTTCCAGCCCTGCTGCGGGACCCTCCTCTGGTGTCAGTCCCGCTCACGCTGATGAAATGATCCCTCACCGTTTCACAGGCGGCACCAGGACCTGCCCCAAGCCCTGCTCCAGCCCAGCTTTAAACCCCAGCCGGGCCGCAGGGGTGTGTGAGCACCCACCACGGACACTGGCACCGGGCCGCAGCTCCGCTGGTCCGGATGCTCTGATCCCACCCCCCCACAAACAGGGTCTGTGCGGGAACAGACCCCGCTCCGCACCGGGGGCGGGAGGAACCAAGGGCCTGGGGCAGGAAAGAATCCCCGTTACCGCGGCAGGACTGCGCACATCCCTGCCCTGACCACGACCCGTGCTGCCCCCACCTGCTGCCGGTGCACGGCGGCCCCGGCTCAGCCCCGCCGTCGGGAATCCAAAGCGAACCGGCGAGCACAGGGACCGGGGGCAGCACCGCGCCCCGCCCCGGCCCGCTCCGTCCGTTACCGGCTCAGCCCCGGCCCCGCCCCCCCCCCCCCCCCCGGGCCCCGGACCCCGGACCCCCCCCCGCTCACCGGCGGTCCCGGAGGGGCGGGGCAGCGGCTCCCGGTGCCGGCGGCGATCGCGTCCGGACCCTGCCCGAGTGACGAGGACCTGCAGCCGCGCGGCCCGGCCCCGCCCCGCTACGTCCCTCCTGACGCAGCCAATGGCGGCGCGGCGCTCCCACGTCCCTGCGAGGGAAGGGCCCTGACGGCCAATCAGCGCGGCCGCCGGGGCGTACGTCACGGCTCTCGGCGGCGCGGGGGACTGCCCCGTGACGGCTGTTCCCGGACGGCCCCGCCTCCCGCCGCAGGGCGGCGCTGGGGAGGGGGCGGTGCGGGGCGGCGCGGCGGGGGGGGCAGCGGCTGCCGGGAACGGCCGTGCGGGAAACCCAGCTGAGTTCCGGGCAGCGCCGTGACGTCACCGCCACCGCCTCTTAAAGGGGCAGCGCCGAGTCCCGACGGCGCGGTCCCGGTTCCGTCCGGTGCCGGTGCTCGGAGAGGCCGCACGCGGGTGGTTTAGAAAAGAGACTTTATTTGTCGCGCTCTCGCCGGGACGCAGCCGCGGGAGCGTTGGGGCTCGTCCGGCCGCGCCCGCCCGGCCCGGGGAAGGGGGGGAACCTGCGAGGAAACGGCCCGGGACGGGAGGGGGGGGGGCGGAACTGCCGCCCCGTGGGCACAGCCGGTGCTCGGGGACCGGGGGCTGCCCGCCACCGCCACCTGCTCGGGAACAGCGGCTGCGGCCGCGCTGCCCTGGGGCGGCTTTACCGGGGCCAGGCCGGGTGCGGTGGACGATAAGCGGGACGCTCAGGGGACAAGCGGGTTTACCTATTGGGTTACGCTGGCTCCGAGGGGAGGGAAGCGACGGCGCTCCCGGGAAGCGTCGAGCCCGGCGAGCAGACGGGAACGGGCACGACCGGGGCCATCCCGCACCCCTCGCCGGGATCGGCCTCCCCGGGCGCTGCCGCTCCCGCAGGGCCGGGTCTGAGCTGGCGCTGCCTTGTGCGAGGTGAAGCTGCAGAAAGCGGGAGAGAAGCGAGGAGGTGGCGGGAGCCTGGGCCGTGCCGGGACCCCCGGGGGAAGAGGGAGCTCAAGGTCCGGGGCTGGCCGGTGTCGAGGCCGCTCTGCGGCAGCCACGAGCCTCGCGCCATCAGCGCATCCCGAATCCCTCTGGAAACGTCGCAGGCGGCGGTGGCCGCTCCGGCGCTGTTGCTTGCGCGCCCCCTCGGTGCCTGCCGCCACCGCCGCTGCGGGTGTCGAGGGACCGCATCCAGCACCACCTCCGTGGCGCTGCCTGGACTCGCCGAGGCTCTGGCAGCCGGATCCATAACGCGGGCAGGGAGGGAGCAGCCCCGGCGCTGCGATGGCCCCAGCACCGAGGGAGGGAGCATTGGGCCCGGCTGTGCGATGCCACACGGGCACCCACGGCTGTCCCTGCTGCAGGGTGGCTTCGTGGCGAAGCCATCCAAGGCAGCAGTGGGTCACGGAGTCCTGGGGAGGGCAGAGCGGGTCAGGGCTGTGTGGTGGCCATGCAGAGCTCTGCCTGTCAGCAGGACTCCTGCACGCTGGGTGCAACCGTAGCTCCTCAGCCCCCTCGGATGCCGGAGCCCCCCTGCCTGTGGGACAGCCGCAGGGGGGGGTATGGGCAGGATGCTGTCTTGACACCAGGTCTTGGCTTCGGGAGGACACTTGAGCTTTCCAGGTGTACAGCCGTTATCTTGGTTTTAGCACTCTCCAGCTGGGCCGGGTCCCCGTCACTCCAAGCCCGTCTTCAGGCTTGGTGCTAAAGGCTTTCTGCGGCAGGAATGGTCTCCAAAGGGTGATTGGACAGTGTAAGAAAAAGAGTCCCGTGTTCCTAACGTTTGTGTGCTAAAACTAAAACATAAACTACACCTTGTCCAAGCAGGCAGGGGATCGGCGTCGGCTCGGCGGGGTAGTAAAGATGCATCGTGTACACTTGCCCTGGGGCGCCAGGGGCAGAGAGAGCTCTTGAATGTGAGTGAATACGTGTTCAGCCGCCGTCCACAACCCTTCCGTGCTGCAGCCCCGGCCTACTCGCTGTCGCTCTTGTCCACCAGTACCGCATCCGACTCCTCCGTGATCTCCAGCAGCGTGTGCGTCTCGGGGCTCTCCCCACGCATCAGATCCGAGTTTTCTCCCTCCTCTCCACCCACCTCCACCAGCTCCGTGGCTTTCACTTCCACCTCGCCCTCTCTTATCTTCTTGACGTGGAAAGTGAAGGGTGGCACTTTGTAGACGGCTGTCTTGGACCTGGCGTAGATGGTGTGGTCCGGGGTGAAAGACTTCCTCAGCTTGTCCCGAGAGGTCTTCATCTTCTCCCTCCTTTCGTTAGTCACAATCTTGGTGCCCAGTTTATTCATCCTCTTCTCCAGGTTGTGGCGGGTCTTCTCCAAGTTGTGGCGGGTCTTCTCCAGGTTTTCCTTGGTCTTTAGCTTCGTTTTCTCCATCTTCTCCTTCGAGAATGCCTTCTTAAAGTCATCCACTCTTTTCATGCCGCTCCTTTTGATGCGCTCTGCCCGTGACTCTTCAATAATCTCTTCAATCTCCACCTCTTCATCTGAGGAGAGCTGGATGTGGTCCTCCTCTGCGTGGTCCTCACCCACAGGCCCCTCTTCAGCCTCACCTTCCTTCTCCAGCTTTTCGCCCTCCTTTAGAGACTTGCTGATGCTCAGTTTAGACGGGAGCTTCACTTCATCCTGCAAGACACAGAGCGGAGCCAGTGAGACACAGACACGCACACAGACAACACGCATTCTCCCCGGGCTCAGAGCCACCCGCAGGTGACATCGGGTCCTCCTTTAATGCACCTGATGAGTTACTGTCAGGAGGCTCTGCCCCACCTGCAGCGGCGCAGGGCTCTATGTAGTTAAGCTCAGGATGCCAGGCTGGTTCCAAACCCGTTGTGACTCCAGAGCTGCCAGCACTGAACCTGCAGCCTCTTCCCTTCGTGCTGTGCCCCTCTCGCAGCCCCAGTTTCACCATCACGCACTCCCAGCTCCAGGAATGCTCCGGCCGCATCCTGCTGCAGAGGGAGCAGGGGACCCCCCGGAACAATGCGGTGCCCCTTTGCCCCCCAGGGCCCCTCCTGCCCTGTCCCCACGGTGTTTCGGGGGGTGGCTCCTCTCGGCAGGGCTCGGTGGGCCGGGGCTCGGCGCTGCGCTGGGCTGCAGATGGCAGCACAGCCCGGAGCCGGGACCTGGCCATGACATAACACAGGGTCTGCGCACCCCGGCCTGTGCCCAGACCTTCCCGAGGCCTGCAGGATCCAGACGTGGGGCTGGGACATCCCTTGGGATGCAGCAGGCCGCCCTGGTTTTCCCATTTCCCCGATCGGGGTCACTTGGGGAATTTATCCAAGCTGTGTCTGACGAGAGCAGGAACAGAGCCCTGACCTGCAGGGCTGCAAGGTTACGCTGCCTCTGCTCGGCACGGGGTGAATTCATTCAGCTTCTCCGCTCTCCCGGGTCAGCCAAGTTTCTGATCTCAGCAGCAGAGGACAAGCATGTGCCCGGGACCGGGGCGCAGGTCTGGAGCGGGATTGGTTTTCATCCGAGCAGCACATAGTGTGCATCCCTGCACTGAATCACCGTGTCCCGGCCAGGCTGGAAATAGCCCATCCCTGCACGGAGCGGCGCAGCTGCGGCTCCCAGCGCCGCTGCCCCGGGGGTTTTAACCCACGGGGCCGGGGGGGAGAGGTTGGAGCTGCCCCAGCCCCAGCCCCACGGCAGCGCAGGGAACAGGCAGGCACAGAGCGGAGCTGCCAGGCTGCAGGTGCGGAATCCTGGGCATTGCCAGCCCCACGCAGGCAGGAGCTGAACGGGGGCTGCCGGTGCCCCCCATGTCCCCGGGTGCTGGCTGCTGCTCCGGGTCACACTTGCACAGCGGTACCCACTGCACTGCCCTTCTCCGGCCCCGCTCCAGCTCCAGCACCTCCATGTCTCTCTCGTCGTGAGGGGCCCAGAGCTGAACACAGGATTCGAGGGGCGGCCTCACCGGTGCCCGGTGCAGGGGGAAGATGTCCAGGCTCAGCCCCTGGAGCCGCTTCTGCGCCGGTGCCCGGTGTGTTGTGTGCACGCTGTGGGGCTGGCCACGGTCACCACCATGCAGGACCCGGGCTGCTCCTCCTGCCCTCGCATCGCTTGAGAACCGACGTGAGCTGATGGAATACGTGACCGCAGCACAGCTCCACCGGGGGGGAAGCCAGATGCTTCCAGCTGTGTCTCCTTCCCCCCCAGGCGCTGCTCCTTGGGCAAGCCGCAGTGCTGAAGCTGAGGGCATCTGGGGAGAGCTCTGGGAGCAGGGACAGCTCGGCTCTATGGGGCACGGGGGATGCCACGGGCTGCAGTGTCACGGTTGAAAGGCAAAGTGTGCAGAGCACGCAGCTGCACCCTGCGGATCCCGGCTCCGGTCCCGGATGCTTTTTGGGATCGAGGTGAGGTGGCCACATGTGTTTTCTCCGTTTGCTCTGCTGCTTGAAGGGAAAACAATAGCCAGGCTCTCCCGAGGGCCAGGTCAGCCCCGAGCCAACCCCGGTGCTGGGCGGGCAGGATCCTGTTCTCCACAACAGCACCTGCTGGAGCGATCCCAGAGAGTCCCAGCCCCACCAGCCCAGAACATCAGGAACTCCGGCCGCTTCCTTCCCTCTGAGTCAACACAATGAGCCAGAACAAAGGCATCCCCCTCTCCCTGGCACCACTGGCCCTGGACAGGGGCCATATCCTGCGAACTCAGATACTTATCGGCCTCTTGTTAACTGCAGAACATGTGTGTGCAGGAGGAAACAGCACCTCAGAACCTCCCTGCCTGCCACAGAGATAACCACTGCTCCTTGTGTTACAGCCCCACAGGCACCTTCTGACCAGATGTGGCTTTATGGGCTGCGCCAGCTCAGCACCATCCTGCAGATCTTTCCTTGCAGCCACAACAACGTGGTCGGCAGCAGCTCCCAGTACGTGGGGCAGGGGGACAAGGTGGCTCTCTGCAGTCCCTGCCACTGCACCCAGGACCAGCAGTGCAGGCAGTCTGGTGGTCCCAGCTCCCACAGGGTGCAGCATGGACAGACCCACACCCACTGTCCCACGCACCCCATGGTGCCCCACGCTGAGCATCCTTCACGTGCAGCTCCCCACCCGCACCCAGGCACTGCCCCAATGCCACCAATGCCGTCCTCCTCCTCCCTGCTCGGTGCCTGCAGACACAGCACTGCCTGTGGGGAACAATGGGATCTCGCTGGAACAATCAAGAACCATCCCGGGTCTATGAGTGGCTGCTACACAGATCCCTGCTCTGGCACTGTGCTCTGGACACTGTTTCACTACGAGCCACATTGTGCACCCCAGGCATTCCAACTACTCTATTTTCACTGGGCAAACACTGACCCTTGAAGAGGGTGAGCCCAACCTCCCGGCTCTGGGCATCGCTGTCTGTTGGGGTGCTCAAACAGGGGGTCCCCATCAGCAGATGTGAACCAGCCCCACGCCCGGACGGCTCCCGCTGCCAAAGGCATTGGGCAAACAAGATTCCTTAGAGGGTTTTCCACCAGCACAAGGAAAACCCCTCCCTGAGCTGGGGCAGAGCCGTGCCTGCGGCAGCACGGCCAGCACGTGTGTGTCTCTGTGTGTGTGTCCTCCATCCCCAGCTCGTTTCACTGGGCTGCCCCCCAGCACGGACCTCCCTGGGGATGCTGCTCCCTGGCACAGCCGATGGGACGGCGCCTTGCGAGCACCCGCAGGGGCCCCGGTGCCGGTACCCGAGGCTCTTTGGCTGCCAGCAGATGGGTGCTGGGCTGCTCGCCCTGCGCCAGGCCCTGCTGTGGGATGTGCCTGCTCCGCCGAGCCCTGTTTTGCAGGCGCGTTCCCGGGCGGTGAGTCACGGCCACCCCATGGCCCCCAGCGCGTTGCTACAACACACGTAAACACTTCCCCAGCCTTATAAAAGGCCAATGAGACCCAAAGCTGAGCTGCGTTCCCAGCCCTGTGCGAGAGGGATTGCCCCGACTGGGTAAAGGACAGAGTCCCAGGACCCCCAGGCACTCCGGGCTCCGGCTGGAGGGTTTAATGGAAGGGTTTTACACACGCACATGCCAAGCACATCACAGTGACCGAGCAGGTCACTGTGCTCCGTTCCTGTCTCGCACACGCACACAGCAGCACAGACGGTTCGCATGCAGCTGGAACATGCAGAACGTGCCCCGCTCGCGTCCCCCAGGCTCTGCTAGGGGATGATCCCAGCTGCCGACGGGTGACGTGGAGCTTCTGCCCCGTCCTGCGCTCGCCCAGTGGGAAGCTGATGGGGGGAACAAAACTCGCCCCCAAGTTTCCCCTGGCAGCTGCCCCCAGTTCCTGGGATGAGCTCAGCATCGCCTGCATCAGGGATGGTCCTGTCCCTGGACCGATGGGGCTGCTCCCAGCCCCCGAAGCGTGGGCTGCTGGAGCTGGGTGTTGCTCCAGCAGGCGCACAATAAGAGGAAGGCTTTAACAGGGCCCTGTGCTGTCACCGGCAGCTCTTGTGGTGTGAGATAAGTGTGAGGCAAACAGCACTGGAAGTCACCACTGGCTCCTAATGAACAGCACTGGGGGCTGCTGGTGCTGAGCAGGAACAGGTCGTGCCCGACCCAACGGGAGCTTTACACGCTCTGTGCTCTCTGCCTGCCTTTGCCTACTTGAAACAACTTCAAACCATTCCACAAACACAAGCTAAACCTGACAAGGAGCCCGAGGAGCTTTGATCAGGTCTGTATGGCAGGGGGAGAAACCGAGGCTCGGCAAACAGCTCGGATTCGCCCCGTCCCAGCACGCCCCAGCAGAGCCAACCGCTCCTGGCTACCAGCCCTTCATGCAAGCGCGCAGCAATCCCTGCCTCCCAGGGCGCAGAGCTGAGTGCGTGACAGCTCCCAGGATGCCTGCGAGCGAAATCCCAGCTCCAGCAGCACTGGGAGGGCAGCAGCAAGCGCGTGAGGCAACAGCGGAGGCGTTCCTGCCAACTGGAAGCTCAGCCTCGCAGCGGGCTGAAGGCTGCGGCAGCCACAAGCAGCGAGGCAAAGGCTCTGGAATCGGCAGCTTCGGGAGAGGTTCAAAGTCCTCTTCAGGGGTTTCTCTTGCTGAGGCCCTAAACTGCTGCCTCCTGGCACGTCTTCTGCTGGTGTGGGCCATGGCACCCTTCCTGCCGCCGGCTCACAGGGCAGTCCCTGGCGAAGGCTCACAGGGCACAGGCTGCGTCTTCTGAGGCTAAGACGAGGAAAACGGCGTTTCAATGGCCAAGGAAAGGAAGCACGATGGAAAAACTTACCTGTCCCTGCTGGGCATGGGGTCCGGAACGTCGCCGACAGAGTCGTCTGGCTTAGCATGAGAACAGGCAGGGGGGAAGCACTGGGGGGGTGTTAGTAAAGGCAGAAGGCAGGTAGCAAAATCTAACAGAAAAGACAGCAAAGATTTATCAGAGGGAAGAGCATCCCTGTCTCACCTACAGCGGGGCCTGGGAGGTGCAGAATCCCTCCTGCAGCTTCAGGCCCATTATCCTGAGCGCTGCCATAGGGCCAGATTCTGCTCTCTCCTCACACTGCTGCTCCCAGGGATTTGATGGAGCTGTTCTGGAGGCGTAGCTGAAAGCAGAGGCTGCTCCTCTGCGCCAGCTTATGAAGAGACAGTGATTTTAGAGCCTGCGTTGTTCATTCCAGACCCCCAGGCCTGGGTTTGTC